AGAAAGGAGATGGCAATGGCCCATGTGGCAGAGCCCTGTCACACATGTACAACAGAAAGGAGATGCATAAGGATTCGTGCAGCTTCTAAGAAGAGTGGTCATACCTAGCAAAAGCAAATATTGAGCTTATTGATAATCTAGAATAATCACTTGGTTTCCATAAGCTCGTTTATTTTTATCTTTAGGAAACAGTCTCTGCTAGGCACTATACCACACATTCATGAAGCTTCTTAGGCTGCTGTCTTTATTAAAGCCATTATCCACATGTGACCAGTAGTAAGTTTTGAATTGACAAGTAGTTTTGTGTTTCATCTTCCTTCCTTCAGCACATTTCTGTGTTTTGAGCCACAGTCACGTCAGGGAAGCCATAGTGGAGGAGACAGCAGTAAACATCAGAATGACAAGGATGGCTCCAGCTCACTGAGTAATGCTTGTCCCTGTCTTACATGTCTTTACTGAAGTGTGGAAGGTAGACATGTGACTGTACACTTACTTTACTTACATACATGTCACTTATATTTCATACATAAATCTATGGAAATGTAAAAAATAAAGACTATTTGATAGTGAAATATACATACATACATACATACATACATATGAATTATATTATTTTGTTCCCCAAGGTTATTTCCCCTTTTGTGATAATCTGTTAACGAAAAGACACTTAAAAGATATTTAAGATAGAATCAAACCTCGGGCAGTTGTAGACGGACCCTCACCTGTCTTATACTAGTTGTGGTTGGGAATTGGCTCTGACTCAAGCACATTGTTATCCAGTTCTTCTATAACCTGTCTGGTCTGGATCAGGGGCAGTTTGGATCCTGTAAGAATCACTTAACCAAACAGGTTCTCAGAGGAATTGGCCTCCCAGCTTCTCCCACTGGAGCTAAGGGACATGAAAACGGCCAACAACACTGGACTGGGCCACTTAGTACAATGTAGAATAACCTTTTGGCAAATACCTGTAGCCAGGGAGGAGCGGTGACCAGAAGCCACTGTAGATTTAGCAGTGGGGGAGCACGGCACAATGGCCTGCAAGAACAGTATCTAGTGTGGACAAGATGGGGTGGGGGAGACATGGAACAAGGCAGGAAAGATCTTAGCCACTGTCTGGAGTCAGGTGCCGCTAGACTGACCCGGATGGGGACAAAATGCATCCAAGTGAAACTTAAGCACCAGCCCTCAATGCTTTAAGTCAGTCGTCAAGAGAACTTCCAGGACTGACAGTGGGAGTCAAGCAGTTGCTTTTGCAGGGAGTCTTAAGATGGGTAGTTGAAGTCACTGGTAAATGAACACTGGTTAAAACAATAAAATTAAGAAGAGCATCAAGTAACTGCTAGAAGCTTCTGACTTTATTGTCTGAGTGTGTTCTATGGAGTTCGTATTAGCATAATAACTGGAAAATGAAAGTGCAGTGTTGGAACCAGGGATGCTAGAGGGGCCACGCTCCATAATTTAAATGTCGGTTCCACCAGGTCCTGCCTGGCCACTCAACAGTACATACACAGAAATCTCCAAAGAGCCCAAGAAGCTTGTCACTGATAGTCACACACTTCCTAGATTTGCAAGTTTTCTCTGCCTGAATGGCTGCCTGAGGTTTGTGCAGGCTGGGCACACACTTGGATGACAGAAAGGGAAAGCCTTCAGGCGTGACATATGAGAAGGCAGAACTCAGGACTGATGATCTGAAGTTTAGGAGGCTGTACGGAGAGGAGCCACAGAGAGTCCTCAAGTGTGGCTACAGAATTTGTCTGATGTCCTTAGCAAGCGCTGTGGACTTCAGCCGGAACTTACAGTACTGGGGGCAGGGTGGAGGCGGGGCGCTCCCACAGGCACACATATCTACCAGAGCAAGTCTCCATCAAAAAGTCTTAACTCAGCTCTGAAGGAATGAAACTGAGCATTTCAGCTACAAAATAGGCAATAACTTCATATGGGCCCAGACGATGAAAGTTAGGCTAAGACTTGAACACAGTTAGCATAGATCCATTCAAAGGAATAAAGGAAAATATGATATTAATTAGTGGACATAGTAAGAAGTTACTACAAAAATGCAGATTCAGAAAAAGTTCAATGGAGGCAGGTATTTTACCAAAGGATTCTGAGACAACCCACAGCCTTTCCCTCCTCTGGTAAAACCAAAATCTAAGTTTCACAATATGTAGAAAAATGAATTCAAAACAGACCTTGGACTTAGATGTACAGTATAAAACAGCAAAACGTTTAGGGGGAAATCTTTGCGATCTAGAGATAGGCAAAAATTCTAATACTTAGCCCCTAAAATACAGTCCATACAACAAAAACAGAGGACTGTGTGAAAAAGAAGGAAAGAAAAGCTACAGGCAGGGAGAAAGTGTTTGAGGAAAGACTCCCAAAGTTCACATTAAAAACAACAGTACAGCCAGAACACGGGCAACTAACATCTGCATGCCATTATGTCAGCATGGTGGCAGTGACATAGTAGTAACCTCTATGGACATGCAGTTAAAATGGTAAGGCTACTGCGCAGTTAGGATGACTCAGATAAAATTTGGTGACAGTGGGCTGGAGAGGTGGCCCAGCAACTAAGAGCACATCTGTAATTGCATAGAATCCATGCTTGAGTCCCATCACCACCTCAGCTTATAACCACCCGTACCTCCAGCTCCAGGGATCTGACGCCTCTTCTGGACCCCACAGACATACTCACATTCACAGACACACAGATACACAGACACACAGATACACTCACATGCACACACACACACACATACAAACAGACACACGTGCACACATACACAT